AGGGTGAGGGGTGGGGTTACCTTGCTGCTTCTTACCCTTTCTGTTGGAAGACACCGCCCTCACCTGGTCAGATTGGGAGCGTAAAGCTGAAGTCGCACACCTGGCTGCCTCATACGCTCGACATATTGTAACAACATCTTGAAGTGAGGAAGTGGGGACAAGTGAAATGAGACCCTGAACTAGCTCTTCATCTCGAATACCCGTTAAAATGATTGTCTTGAGTTGTGTCTCTTCACAAACTTGAGAATTTCCAGGACAAACATCAACTTCCTCTGAACATCTCTTGAGTCTTACAAAAAATGCATCAAAAGATTCTCCATCAAGCTGCTTACATTGGAGGAGTTCTCTTCTTCAAAGTGCTTTGTTGCGCTGTCCCTTAACATGTTCTTGTAACCTGTCGAGCACAGCCTCTACCGTCAGAGTTGTCGTAGGAGGCACTTGAAGTGTGTGCTCGAGGGTACGTTGTGTCTCTAAGGACAAGCACATACGAAGCTGTATCATCTGTTTCGGCTGTGATAAACTTGACAAGTCAACCATTGTTGCATAGTCTTGCCAACGTCGACGCCATTCCCGAAATATCTGATAGGAAGCGTCAGACTTCAGAGAGGGAGGCGTCTGTACTGCAGCCTTTTGAGGTGTTGTTGATCCGACTCTGGGAAATGAGGTACCAGTACCTCTAGTCATAACAGCGTCAGTAGTAGCAGAAGAATCTTGTACAGTAGATCGTTGTGGGGAGGCTAACAGGGAAATCAAGGCTTCAAATCTGGCTTGATTCTCTCTTCTTCTCAGGTCATCCTCACTTCTACGTATATCTTCTAGTTCTCTGCGTCTTTGTTCATCTTCGTGGCGTCGTCTTTCAGACTCTCTGTACCGAATTTCTTCCTCTTCTCTCCTTGCAACATAGTCCTGGCGTTGAGAAGTTTCCATCCACTTAATCAGTTGAAAGAGATCTGTGGACGCAGGCACCGCAGGAGAGCTTGCTCGCGACGAACGAGGAGATTCTGTGGGCATTATCACTGTGGGGAGCGTGGGGCCTGAGTGTGGGTGGGGAGAGGTCTCCCAAGCTTAAACTCATAACCCCATCGTCCAGGGTATCATTTTGATCCCTGTGAGACATGCCGACAGCTTCTGTACTCTATCTGTGCAAGAGACCGGGTCAACCCCTCGTAATCTATGCACAGAATTACAGAAGTCTAAAGTAATACACAAGAATTTAATATAAAGTGGGCCTGTGAGTGCGTGTGTGTGTGTGTGTGTATGGCTCGTTGCCGGGAGGCTTGGCCCGCTGCCAGACGTAGAGGCAGCTGGGCAAAGTCGCAACTGAACCGAAGTTGTCTTAATGCACGCTGCTCAGTTACCCAATGACCGTAGGCGGGAGGGGACATACTGCTGGGCCGCTCCCTCAGTCATCTGACTGCAGTTTGCACAGACAATTCTGATTAAAATACACAACACAGCACTTCACAGAACACTTCACTTCACAGCACAGCACTGTACACAGCATAGCACTTCACAACACTGTAAGTCCTGAGGCTTGTAGTCTGGCTGTAAATCCTTGGCGAAGCTGAAGACGAGACGCCATTAACACAGTCCGGCGGGAAGGCTAAGTTCACTCTGAATCTCACTGAGAAATCTCACTGCGCCATCTATGTTTGTCTTTGATACCCCCAAAATGTTCTACACTACGGAGGGTATACGCAAACACTTGTTATCTTGAAAATAGGTTCTTATTCTCGCACAGGAGATATACAGTAGTACCCCGATTTACGCGGTCAATTGAACCCACAGGGTACCGCGGAAAGTGAAATCCGCGTAAATGGAACAACAGAACATATGGGATTAATTCCAATAGAGACTGGCCCGACCCCCAAACTCTACTTTTTCCGACACAATACCTATGTTCTAGTAAAAATAACATCTTAATTTTATGATGGTATGCTCACACAATTAGTATTAAAGAGGAATACAGTTGCCAGGTTAATGTCCATTCAAATAATGGACTCAATTCCCCCCCCCCTCTCTTCCCAGCTCACTAGCTCCTTCCTCTCTGAGAAATGATTGGGTGAAACACTAGATTTTAACGTTTAGTAATAAATAATACCTCAGACTAAATTTAGGATAATATAATTGACATTTCTGGATTCCTTGCAGATCAGGGAATATTTTGAATGTAAACTTCATATATTTTGCACAAAAGATAAAATACTTGCTTTGTGTAAACCAAATTATTACATTAGATCTAAAATTTGTATGTAATGCTAAATCCATGATGTTTATATTCAAAATGATCATCATATTGTAAGAATTCCAGCAATGGAAATTATATTCTGGTCCAGTAATTTGTATGAATTTTATGAGCTAGAACAAATATCTTCAGTTAATAAAAAAAAAAAATATTCTTCGAGACACTATCTGTCAATCAAAGTACCCCCAACTTGCCTTCCCCCCTCTTCCAACCGCGCCAGATGGTCGGTCGGTCCCAACCCTCCCCCCCACCCCCCACCTTCCCTCCCTACCAGAGAAATGTTGGGTGAAAAAACTAGTTTTAACTTTTAGTAACAAATAATACCTCAGACTAAAGTTAGGATAATATAATTGACATTGCTGGATTCCTTGTAAGACCAGGAACATTTTGAATATAAACGTCATATATTTTGCACAAAAGATAACATATTTACTCTGAGTAAACATTAGATCTAAAATTTGTATGTCTAATGCAAAAATCTATGATGTTTATATTCAAAATGATCATCAAATTGTAAGAATTCCAGCAATGTAAATTATATTCTGGCCGGGTAATTTGTAGGAATTTTATGAGCTAAAACAAATATCTTCAGTTAATAAAAAAAAATATTCTTCACACCATGCCAGATGGTCGGTCAGTCCCCCCCTCCCCCCCACCCCCACCAACCCTCCCTACCAGATAAATGTGTGGGAAAATCAGAATATTTACCTTTTTAGTAATAAATAAATAATACCTCGGACTAAAGTTAGGATAATATAATTGACATTGCTGGATTCCTTGTAAGACCAGGAATATTTTGAATATAAATGTCATGTATTTTGCACAAAAGATAACATATTTACTCAGAGTAAACATTAGATCTAAAATTTGTATGTCTAATGCAAAATCTATGATGTTTATATTCAAAATGATCATCAAATTGTAAGAATTCCAGTAATGTAAATTATATTCTCGCCGGGTAATTTGTATGAATTTTATGAGCTAAAACATATATCTTCATTAAATAAACAAAGAAATATTCTTCAAGGACACTATCTGTCAATCAAAATACTCAGCCCAAGCTGGGTCGGTCCCTCCCTCCCTCCCCCCCCACCCCCACCTTCCCTCCCTACCAGAGAAGCTTTGGGAGAAAATAGTAATTTACATTTTTAGTAATAAATAATAACTCAGACTACAGTTAGGATAATATAATTGACATTTCTGGATTCCTTGCAGGTCAGGGAATATTTTGAATGTAAACTTCATATATTTTGCACAAAAGATAAAATACTTGCTTTGTGTAAACCAAATTATTACATTAGATCTAAAATTTGTATCTCTAATGCAAAATCCATGATGTTTATATTCAAAATGATCATCATATTGTAAGAATTTCAGCAATATAAATTATATTCTGGCCAGGTAATTTGTATGAATTTTATGAGCTAAATAAAAAAGAAGAAGTTATACTTCACGCGTATATGGGTAGATGAACCGCGGAAAGTGAAAGTTGGTTCTGGCGAGGCACCGCGTATATGAGAAATCGCGTAAAGTGAAACCGCGTAAAGCGGGGTAACACTGTACAGAGGAAACAAATAGACAGTGGGCTTCCACCAGGGCTGTGGAGTCGAAGACAAAACCTTCGACTCCGACTCCTAAAATTTTTATGCTTCCGACTCCGACTCCGACTCCTTGGCCTATTTGTAACAACTATTTCTACCATCCTAATTGTAATTTATATGTTGTAACCTGCATAGGTAAAAAGTAAAACACCGTGGCTATACTGCTACAGCTTTATTAATGATCTGGACGATATTTAAGAACTACAAAAAGATGATAGGCTTGACTTTCAAAGTTTCAATCAAAAGAAAAATAAATTTATTAAGAATTCAAGATATTAACTAGAAAACACCATTTACATGTATATCTAAAAGTTCGATCTCAGCATATGAATTTTGTTTAAGCTCATAATCTGATGTGGATCTAAATGATGATCCTACAATTCCTTTTAAAGTAAAGTTATATATTTATGTACATTAAAGAAATGAATACCTTATTAAGGAAAATGGATAAACCTTACATGATTAAGTTATTAAATTAAATTTGCCTTAATCTCACCAAAAACAGGTTGTAGCTAATTGTTTTGTAGCTGAGAGCCTCTGTGCAGTTTTCAACGAAACAAAATTTGATATAATTCAAAATTTCAAATGGTAAAGAAGAGACTATCGTCCAAAATTATAGTGCTATACTGTGCCTGCTACAATAAATTCATAATAATGCTTATAAAATGGAAATAAATTCTTTTAATAATTTAAGAAAATTAGTGGGATCAGTGGAATCACTGCAATGAATATGCCTGAGTTCATATATTTGTTCTTAGGAACAGAATAGCTTCAGTCGGAGTCGGAGTCGGAGTCTGGACAATTTTACCGCCTCCGACTCCGACTCCACAAGCCGAAATTTCCTCCGACTCCTCGACTCCGACTCCGACTCCACAGCCCTGGCTTCCACACCATAAGGACTAGTGATCTCAACTCTCTCTGTCACTCCGCGCTGGCATGTACAGATGCCAGCATTCACAAGCTGAATACATAATATGTAAATATGATAATTCACATACATAACATGGTGCATAATAAATGGAAATATTACATAGGATTAATACATGTTCTGTAATACTTTACTATACATAATTAATAGAGTAATATAAGAATACACAGCTTAAGGTACTATTTCCTGTCCATATTATACAATATTAATAAGTGTTCATTGTCAGTGGTGGGTGAGATGGAGGAACGTGTGCGGTGGCTAGAGGCCATGGAAGCAGTTGGGGCTGGAGATAAGTACCGACATCTCATAACAACTCAGCTCGCTCTCAAGCTGCGGGATCTGGAACTTATTGACCAGGAACGTGCTAGGGATCTTGGTAGAGCCATAAGACAAAAAATGGCAACTTATAAAGCACAAGAATAATATTCATTCACTGAAAAGATTGCCCTGTACCTATGCTCTGAAAATTAAACTTGTTGACAGTAACATTTACATAAACCCCATTCAAAAGATTTGACATTGAATTTATTTCCTAGTAGCATGACATTGAATCTATTTCCTAGTAGCATGACATTGAATCTATTTCCTAGTAGCATGACATGATTTCATTAGTCAATAAGACCATTTAGTAATACAGTACTGAATGTAGGGCTTCAGACATGATGAACATTTCTCACAATAAACTGTTTGACCTTAAGCTCTGAAGCTTAGGAACTATAATTTTATCTAAAACTCTGTAGATTTGGAACTAAGTATGAGATGAGTGTAGGTTAATATTACACAAGCAAGTAAACAATAGATAATGGATTGTAATCACTAAGTTGTAAATTGCAGAAAAACAGATGTGATAGTTTATCAACACAACTACTCTAGTAGGTAACTTGAAGGTACAGTAATATGTGGTATTTATATTTTGTTCAAATTTCAGCTTTATTGTAGAACTTCATTACAATATCATCTGTAAAAATTAAATAAATTAATTTACTGTACTGCATGATCATATCAAACTTTTCTGAGTACTGTACCTGAGACCCATTCTAAACTAAATGAGGTGCTGAAGCCACACATGACTTGAGTTTGAGGACCTTTGCAGATTATCCACTTTTGTGGTAATAAGATCCCTACTCACATTCATCAATCATACTTAAGTACACAAGTTTTATTATCTGCAACCAACAAATGGGTCCTAAAATTTGTGTTATCTTGCTATTTTAGTACTAACACTACTGTACAATTTATATTTTCATGTAGATATTAATCACTAATAATATCATTTGCCTGTAATTAATATGTTCACTTGTTAACTGCCTCTCAGCTTCCAGGCTATAAAGTAGCCAGAGAGCAGATTATGTATCTTCAAGCCTGGGAGGCTGCAACTAATACAGGTATGACATGCAACCAGACAACACCAGCATAAGGCTAAGATATTAATCCAAAGTGTGAATACAGTACATTATACAGTACAGGAAAGGATGAGAAAATAAACAGACTTTGACTTTAATACAAGACTTGTGAATTTATTGTACTGCACTGTACTGGGGTATGTTAAAATAAGTTTCTTTGATGTATAATCTTTTGTATGTTCTATAAACTTTAATTGATAACATTTGTTTCATGACTTCTTTACTCCTAAATTTAACATTGAAAATATTAACCTCCCACATTCTTGGTAATTTTATGTTAAGTGTATAAGGGAAGGCTAAGTACAGTAATCAGATTGATAATACCTGTATAGGCATCTCCCATTACTGGATAGGGAACGGCTAAATTCCTGAAAAATTGTCTGTAACTCAAAATTTCATAACTCTAAATCTATTATGTCCACAGATTTACATTACATGTATACAGTATAATCAGAGATGCATTCCTACAAACAAATATGTTTCTCCCCTCAAAAAAAATTATGTAAAATTAAATAACATCAACAAAATTTTTAGTACAGGTACTGTGCACATTTAATTGGTAAATGATGTATCCTGTACATGAGCAGATCCAGGAATATCAAAAGGGGATTTATTAATTGATGGCAAAACATATGAAAGGAAACCAGTAGGGTATGCCAAATGTGAAGCTGAAGAGTTAAAAGTTAAAGTAAGAAAGATTTTCAGCAAATCAGCCAGGGGAAAAAAGTTAACGGGCTTCCTAGATGAAGCACCTAAACCACCTCGGATGTATGGTTTACCTTAAGTTCATAAGCCAGGCATACCGACGCATCCTATCACTTCGGGAATAGGCACTGCACATTATAAATTAGCTAAATGTCTGGCTAGTCCCTTGTTCAACACCCTTGGATCCGTTAGCGGTGCACATCTAAGAAATTCCAGTGATTGATTGGCAGGTTAAGAAGCACTGATTTTAAATTTAAAAAGTTAGTTAGCTTTGATGTTAAAGCATTGTTTACCAATGTCCCTATAGACAGTGCAATGGAGGCTGTGAGAAGGGTCATAGCTAATATTTATGACAATGACGTGCCTATAAAAAAGACAGATTATGTTAATCTCATGTCCATGTGTGAAAAATTTGGTGTATTCACTTTCAATAACGATGAATACAGACAGCATAGAGGACTGGCCATGGGTAGTCCCCTAAGTGCAGTGATGGCATGCCCTTATACGAAAATGTTAGAATCGGACATTTACATGAGGATAATGGGGAGAAGTACAAACTGGTTGAGATATGTGGATGACATATTAGTTGTAATTTTGGAAAAGTAAACATTGCAAATAAGTTAAGGATGTTAAACAATGTAAAAAATTATATACAATTCACAGTTGAACTAGAGGAGCAAAACCAAATACAGTAGAAGTCCAAAAATCCGGACTGCTTAGGGAATGGGTTGGTCTGGATTTTTGGATTTTCCGGATTATCAGGCAGTACTTTTAAAATTCAAATTTAAAGAGGAATAAAGAAGAGATGAACAGGTACATTTTGATAGCTTATTCATTAGCAAATATAGCATGCTTCATTTATCAAAACGAGCAGTTTTAAGGAAAAAGCTGTGAATTCTAGAATTATATTCTTTGCCTTTCTTATATCATAAATTGTAGACTTTCCAATGTCGTATGTTTCCATTAGAACAGTATTGCTCACACCATGTTCTAGTTTCTTAATTATTTCAAGTTTGTCACTCAATTTCAACGTGTTCTTCTTTCTCTTCACACAACGAAGTTTATCTACTTAAGGAGCCATTATTATGGGCTTGTACAGTACATGTACTCTGTAAATGAAAAGAGTTGGATTCAAAATTACATACGTTGTCACAGTTTGATTGCTCGCTTTAAAGTGGCGACGGCGTGGTCGCTTGTTGTCGCTGTGCAGCTGTGGCACTCATGCATGCGCACACACACAAAAGCCCGCTAAAAAAAAAATGAATTTCCTAAAAGTCCGGATTCTCGGGTGGTCCGGATTTCTGGCATCCGGATTTTTGGACTTTTACTGTACCATTTCTAGACATTATGATAAAGAGGGAGAATGGGAAACCTAAGATTTTGGTGTTCAGAAAACCTACAAAGAGGGGCGATTTTGTGCATTGTTGTCAGCCCACAATGATAGAACCAAGACAGGTGTGGTGACAGGGTTCGTTTTGAGGGCTCATAGAATTTGTAGTCATGAATATTTGGACAGTGAACTAAGGTATATAAATGAGGCTTTTAAAATGAAATATCCAAGAGGATTATCATGCGAATTAAAGATCAAAGCAATTAAGATATATAAGAGACCGGAAAATGACAGAGGTGAAAACTAAGGTAGACTATGTCACAGTCCTTATGTCCAATAAAACTGATGGTATAGAAAAGTTAAGGACAAAGGCTGGAATATATGCAGTAAAGGCTTCTGGAGCAAAAGATAGTGAAATTTAAAAAAATAAAGATAAACAAATGAGTGATGTAAACAAGCTCAGTGTAAATTACTAGCTTTTTTCTAACAGCTGTTCAACTTCCTACATTGGTGAAAGTGGACATGGGGTGGAGAAGCATGTAGTTGAGCATAAGAATGATGTACGAATACACAGGCAGTTCAACTCATTAGTTGACCACATTGATGAATTTGGTCACTTACCAAACTGGCAAGGTATAAAAGTAATTCATAAAAGATATAACAAAAATAAGAGAAAAATGAAGGAGGCCACATATATAAGTACTAGCAACACTATCAACCACAGAGATGGATTTGTGTGTCTAGCCAATTCTACATGAAAATTATTGGTAAAGTCAGTGGAAGGAGGTAGTCAAAAAGGCAAAATGACCAATCAGAAGGCAAAATTCTGAGGTATCCAGCAAGGTCAGTGACCTGAGTTGTATATACTGTAAGGTAACATCTGCATCTTTTGTATTTACTCTCTGAAGAACACCCTGTGAGGGAGAAACGTTAGAGTGATAAACAGAACAGCTCCTGCTGTCTCCTTGGTTTCTGTGTGTGTATATATAAATATATATTTATACAGTCAACCCTCGCTTTACGCGGTCCCACATTCCGCGTTTCCACATTTACGCGGTACCCTACCGAAACAGGAATGCTCACATTCCGCAGTGTGTGTACCCCTTTACGCGGAGAGCGGCTGGCGAGCCGCGCCATTTTTGGATCCAAACCTCACGCCATCTCTCCCACCCTCTCCCGCCATCCGCCATGTTGTGTAAGCGGCGCGAGCATGGTGCGCACAAGGTCGCCCAGTCATCAAAACATTACCGAGTTCTTCACCCACCACAGCCGGCCCAAGTCAGTGATAGTGATAATTATAGTGAGGATATGGACTTATATGGACTTTGAGGGATTTGACAAAGAGGCCCTGCAAGCCTCTGTGGTGGATAGTGATACAATTGATACAAGTGATACAGGTGAGGGCCAATAATCTGCCCTCTGCCTCGGAACTAACCGCCCATCCCCGTGTGCCCAGCCATCTTTTCTACTAATGTAAGTGTTAAAAAACCTAATATTATTGATATTTCTCTTAATTATTAATTGTGTGTGCATACCATCATAAAGTTAAGATAATATTTTTACTAGAACATAGTTGTGTGTCGTCAAAAAGTGGAGTTTGGGGGTCGGCCCGGTCTCTATTTCAATTAATCCCATATGTTATGTTGTTCACTTTACACGTTTCTCACTTTCCGCGGTACCCTGTGGGTTATATTAACCGCATAAAGTGAGGGTTGACTGTACAGTCAACCCTCACTTTATGCGGTCCCACATTCCGCGTTTCCACGTTTACGCGGTGCCCTGCCGGAACCCAGGATGCTCACATTCCGCGGTGCGTGTACCCCTTTACGCGGAGAGTGTCCGGCTCGACGCTATTTTTAGATTCGCCCCACCCGCCTGCTCCCGCCTCCTCCCTCCTCCGCCCTCCTCTGCCTCCGCCTGGCCAAGCCGCGCGGTAAGGTTGCGCAGTGCATGTCTCTGTTGCGTTATCACTGACGTCATATGACGTATCGGACTGTGATTGGCCATGCATCCCTACCTCCCTCCGCTGCTACCTGTAATTGGTTTAAAGTAATATGACGTGTCCACCCGGGGGAGGGAGGGAGGGAGGAAAGACGACGCTTGACCTAGCCGCGGCAGTTTCATCCCTCCAGGCCACACCGTGTAATCGTGCATCCATTGTTCTGTAAAATGGCTTCCGCCGGACCACCACCCCCAGAGAGAAACCTTTCCTTGCCTGGACCCAGCCGCCCTAAGCCCAAGAAGACACGACGTTCCTTAAGCTACGAGGTGAAGTACAAGATCATCCAAGAGTTAGAGAAAGGAACAAGACAGGTTGACGGCGCCAGCATCCACGGCGATGCAGCCATGAAGATCACAAAGTTCACAGGCTATGATCGCCAACCAGGTGCTTCAAGACAGAAAATACTTGAGAGCTACTTCGGTGGAGGTTGACGGAACATGGCGGTCGACACGCCGCTCTGTTAAGGACGCACGAACTGTATGCACAGTGCACTAAAGATGGGAATTACAGAGCCCAAACCCTTAATGCTTCCTCGGTGGTTACAGAGGTTTAAAAGGACAAGATCACCAATATAAACATTGGTGAAGAACCAGTGCTGACCGTGGTTGTTGCTTTTACGCGGAGATGAGGAAGGACAGTACAATCATCACTGTTTAACATGGATCTGGTCTTTTAGAAAGAAGACCTCATAGAAGAATGCCAGCAGGATCGGGCAGAAGATGCAGAAGGAGCGATCACCGCCCTGTTTACCACCACGCTCCCGTACCGTGTTTATCGGATCCACACAGCCCAAGCGCGCGCGTTTGCCAAGAACATGGACATGACCAAGCAATGTCCACTGGCTGACCGCACGCACCTCTTGGTTTGATGTCTTCTGTTCCCGGAGAAATCAGAGCAACAGAATGCCATCTGCTGACCCCTCCCAACACTATGTCTATATTACAGCCCATGGACCAAGAGTTAATCTGTAATGTAAAAACTGCATTCTCAAATTCCAGCTCTGAACGACTACACCAACACCAGGAAGATTTATGTTACCTGAGTGACACCACCACCGATAGCAAGAGGAAGAAGACGAGGATCAACAGTTGGCAGAGCAAAATACTTTTCATACAATTTGGAGATAGCATCGAAGCTGTGGCTTCGTGGAGGTATGGGATCATC